CCCATACCCAAGAGTATCCAGGAGATAGTAAGATTGAAAGTTCATCGATTAGTGATTTTCAAAGAGCATTTATCAGTGCAGTTTCTCCAGACTTTAAAAAGAAAAAAATTAAATCAACTAAAAAGAAATCCCAGAAACTGAGCCGTAGAACGTCGACTGCAGTCAAAGCAAAAAAAAACCACGTGAAGAAAATACAACTTGTACAAGATCTGGATGAAGCATTGGAACTTAAATGTGAAGGAAATGTTGATATTAAACAGAAGAATAAGGAGACACTAAAGGATGACTTCGAAGAGTTGTCAGAGATGCCTACAGGTTTGCCATTGTATGTCAACCTTGATGAAAACAGAGATAGATATCTTGAAGTGTTGGCACTCATGTCATCAAAAAATTTGCCCAACCACGATGAAGACAAAGTGCATCAATTTGTTGTTGAATCTGAGATTTTTCCAGCCAGCTCCTGTTTTGTTAACCTTAATCAAGACACAGAATGTCATTTTCAATTGATGTCAGAGATGTCATCAGCCACAATATCTTATAATGACAGTCATGATGGTGAATTTGCTTTGAAACAAGAGATGTCACCAATACATCAAACTTGCCTCCAGACAGAACTTACTGTAACAGGTATGAAGCTCTCATATTACCTGACAATGATTATGTTCTAATCATATATTGGAGCAATTGATAAAATAGATTACAATGACTGTAAATTGTGGTATAGAATTTCAAGCTTGTGGGTAGTCATTGTTCTCTAGCAATGCAGTTTATTCAAAATATCCCAGTAGCCGACAATCAATTCAGTTTGAATCCTTTATTGATATCCAGATTAAAATAAAATATACTATAAGAATATGATTCCAATAATGTTAATAAATAAAAAATGTACCTTAGAAACGTATTTGTGTTAATTAATGAATTAGTACACAGTAATTATACTACAATAATTGATGATAACCATAAAAAAAAATTAAAAACTAATAATAAAATATAAAATTAGGTGAACAAAATATAAAAAAAATCCTATAGTATACCTAAAGTGAAATAAAAATAGATTACTCCTAAAAGTAGACAAGGATGGGTAAAATAAAGTTGAGAAAGGTACCAAAATCAAAGTGAATACTTTTGATACCAAACAGTTATAATACACATGATTTTAACTGAATAACAGATGGAAATAGGAATTTAGAGAATAGGTGACTGGAATATAAATTTACCAATTGACTTTTATTTGCAATATATTTTCTCTATTCTTTATCATTCTAGAAATGCCTAAGAAAACTGGTTCTGGGAAAAAATCTGAAAAGGCCCAGTATTGTGTATGTGAAATTCATTTTAACATCTAGTAATTTTTTGTAATATCTAGTCTTATATTCAAATCTTACTTGATTAATTCTTAAATAATGAATCTATATCTCTAACTTCACTTAGATTTTATATTTTGCCAACTTGATGTAAATGGTTGTACTCTGAAGCCACTTTTTTGTTTGTTCACTTTAATTTATCAGATGATTTCAATTTATTAAATCATCATATTTATCAAAAAATTAACTTTTAATGAAATTTTTCCCCTGTGACCTCTTTAGATAAGAAAATAAATAAATTTGTCATATGTCAAGCACTAGTCTTTAATAAGTGCTTCTTATTAGAAGTATTCTATTTGGAATAAATACTGCACCGCTATCGAGTGTAAATATTACAACATGCTTTCATATTTTGTATCAAGATCTATAAAACAACTGATTTCTTTTACAAAATATCGTAGGCCTACACAGAGCAACACTCAAATAAGCATCATAGTTTGTTCATTTTAGGATATTGTTGATGGGAGAGGTCTGAATGGCTGGGAGCAGAGTTTACGTCAGCATCCAAAAACTGTTAAGAAATTTCAAGCAACATTTAGTCCAGACCCAGTAAAAAAGGAGTCGGTAAGCCACCCATTGAATTTAATACACCATCAATCCCAACCTACCTTTTATTATACCTTGAACTTCATTGTATTTTATCTGGAAATATCAAAGTCAATGTAAGATGTAATATAACTTGCACTATTTATTTCCGATTTAAACCCCTAACTCGAGAGTACCCCTGATTCTGTCCCAAACCTCCCATTGTACATAATTCCATTAATTTGTTGTAAAATAGGCTATAATTTCATTCTACTGTATGTAATTAACCTTGTGTAGTGTCAATCAAGTAGCTCTTGGCCCTCTAGCACGATTCATACAGCAAAGCCTGGTTTCCATAAAATCGCTACACATTTGCTACAGAACTTCACTGCAATCCTTGCACTGCGTATCTTTCAGCGACGCAGTAGGAAACGCTCCCCAATTCAACTGACCAATCAGCGTCGCCAAAGGAATCGGCGATAGCGTGTAGCGATTTCCATGGAAACCAGGTTTTTTTGAATTGAAATGAAGAACTACAAATCTAACTTTTATAATTTGTGTGAAATAGGTCATCATGTCAAAGGAGAGTAAAAAGGAAGACAATAGAAGTTTCAAGCAAGGGGATCAAACTCCACAGATAGACACTGTGGACAACCAACTGGTAAAGTGTATTATGTTAAAGTATGTAGGGAGGATTTCTAAATAGAGGTTCTAGTTTTTCACGAAAAGGAACAGCCCCACTGTGGTTGGGGTAAATTTTAAGGATTTAACACCTCAGATGTCCTAAAATAGCGATAAAAATTTCAAATATTTGTAGTTAATTTTAATAAATTCTATGCAAATGGTACTTTTTAATAATAATTTAAATGAGCATTTCTGGGATAGGGGGCTTCTTTTGAACCACTTGAACCTATTGTCTACGGGCTTGATGTTCTCCCTTCTACAAAATAGAGAATTCCACATGATCGACCAATACAGAGACTCCTGCGAAAGTAGTACTGTACAGCATTTCTGTAGCTTAGTGAAAATATTTTTTTCAAACTGGAATAGAACAATCATCAAAGCCAATTTTGATTAAAATTATGTGAGGTTGACTCTACTATGTAGTGTGCGTACGTCTGTGCAAAATGCAGTTAGAAAGAACAAAAAAATAAACACAAATTGTATGAATTGATATTTATTTTATGTGTAGAATGTCACTTTAATATTACAAAATACAAATACTAAATTGTATGTGATTAAATAGTGAGGTACACAAATATTCATGGAACCTATATATTATCAGTGTTGAACCTTTAAAAATTGGAGTAGAAAATATAGAGTAGCAATAATGTTTTAATGTTTGTTAATGTTTTCTGCTCTTGTGAAGTTATTTTAATAAATTGTTTACATAATATTTTGCCAGGATCTGTTTGGTATTGGGGTTTTGGTGTGGGGTAAAATCAAAGGTTACCCATATTGGCCAGCTCAAGTGATATCCCATCTCCGGTGTAACCGACCTGCACCATCTGCAGGCTTTCGCTGGGTCAGATGGTTTGGGGATGGCAAGTATTCTCAGGTAATTATGTTTCTATTAATAA